TTCCGTACTTCCACGACATGCTGCTCAAAAATCGACTTCCAATGTTTTGATTCTGGTTCTGAAAACTTCTGCGCAACCGCACAATTTTTTTTCGCAAAGCATGTCGGGTAAATCATTAATGGTAATGATATGCGGGTCAACTTGAAGATGACCCCTGACAAGTTGCGTCAACTGCGGATTACGTATAGGTGTCAATGGTTTATTTACCCGCTACGCGCAATAGGACAATAGGACAGCGGCCGTTTCTAGACCGGTGATAGAGGGACTGTGAGGTGCCATTGCAAAATAGAACGGCATGATACAAATTGCTCACTATAACGATGTGACAGGAACAAATGGGTGTCACCGCTAAATAGAAAGGTATGACACAAATCCCTCAATATAACTATGTGACAGCAACAAATGGGTGTCATTGCAAAGTAGAAAGGCAAGATACAAATTGTTCACTATAACCATGGACGTACTAGAGACGTACGCTGCACGGTGATTCACACCTGATAAGACGCATTGTCTTTCTATTGTACTCATCTTAAATTTATAAATAGGCAGACGTACTTTCATCTTGGCTGAGTTGCCGCCCGATCTTAGTTTTGATTTTTCACGACAAGATTCGAATCTTAAATTTTATATTATATTATATTGGGTCAAAAAAAAAAATACTGACCTTGCCCGTGAGCTGGTGCAATGTTAAGTTGTAAATCAAAGGTTTAACGCAGATCCGTATATTCTATGCAAGTTTACGAGCATGTTTGTACCGATCTTCTGCATTTGTTAACAATTTTAATTTAATATTGCCAGTAAACCCGGTGTGAGCGAATGACGATTTTTTTTATCCGATGTTCAATTCGAGTGAAATTTACAGATGGCACAAAGCTTGAAATTTTCGGAAAAGTTCGGCCGTCGTAATTCGATGTTAAACATGGACTTTTTTAACATTAGCTTTCACGTTCATAGTGGGCTCTCGCGAGAAACAGTACTGCTGTTCGGGACAAAACGAAGATGAACCGAGCTATAATCGGACGTGCTCGTTTCCCATGGACAGGAAATTATGCAGACACGATCTGGATTTACAGTACTAGTAATCTGGTGGTGGCAACGCACATACATCAAAGCGAGTAAACACCGTGCAGCGTCCATCTCCAGTACGTCCATGCTATAACGATGTGACAGGAACAAATGGGTGCCATCGCAAAATAGAACGGCATGATACAAATCTCTCAGTATAACGTTGTGACCATCGTCCGAATCGCACGGTCCTGTGTTTTCGACCTATAGGCCTCTACACGATATCGTGCGGGATCGCATAGCTAATTGCGTATCTTAAGCAGTGAGGTTTGATTGGGCGCGCCTTGAAACAAGACGCCCAATCAGCTTGGACGTACCAAATTATAAAACAAAATTCCACTTCCTGTTTTTGTCTCTATGAAGACATCCTTTCCACACAAAACTGCGTCGATTGCCTGTACCTGATGAGGCTTGAGGGCACCAACACCGAAAACTTCGCAATTTTATCATCACAAATATCACGATTCATGGGTGCCACCATTTTGTTTAAAATAAAACGCCAAAGAGAGATTTGTGAACACGCAAACTGATTGGACAATGATTAACAGCAATAATGTACGTCCATGCAGCAACTGACTACTGGGAGGACTGTTAGAATACGCATATTTAATGGTCGCTCTGTCAAGGTCTGTTTAGAGGCTTGGCCGAATAAACTTAGACCTTGGCTAGCGAAGATGCGATGTGACAGGAACAAATAGATCTCATCGCTAAATAGAACGGCGAGATACAAACCCCTCACTATAACGATGTGACAGGAACAAATGGATGCCTTCGCAAAATAGAAAGGCATGATACAAATCCCTCACTTTAGCGATATGACAGGAATAAATGGTGCCATCGCTAAATAGAGCGGCAGACGTTACTCACGTGAACACATGCGCATTGCTGAGGAAAACACGCTCTTGACTGGTCTATGATTCCAAGATACGCGTTGGTTTCAGGAATCTCTGAGAACTGATAACGTGTACATGAATCTGTACTATCAAGGTTGTCAATGGTTCTTGACTGTGACCCGTGTTCTGTCTGTGGAAAATGATAGCAATACATATAAATATAAATTTGAAAAGTTTACATAAATAATATAAAATATGCCGAACTATATACATTTTGGTTCGTTCATAATTTTTTGTTATTAACGTTGAAATAACCCGGGTCGTTACCAAAATGTTGAAGGGCGGTGGTCGTCGCGCCACGCAAGCGCGAAATATTGGTCACATGCGAATAAAGATGGCGATTTTGAATATTGTGCAGACCAACGAATACAACTGAGACGTTACCAAGCTTTAACTGGGTAATTTCTTTGGTGATTGGAAGGTATCGAAGGAGCCATCTATGGTATTTAGAGCATGTCGCGCCCTGGTCAAAACTCGTACTCGTGACTCCATTAGAAAAGCGCATTGAATTGTGGGAAAATCAATGTTTATCGACGTAGATAGCGTTTCATTACATAGACACCTTTACAGTATTAGCATTGTCACTTTTGAGTCGACGATTCGGCGTTTCTTGTGCGCGCGCATACCGGTTATGAGGTACAACGTAAACAGTCTCGCTTTGAGATGTACATCCGGGTCAATATGACTATCGATTGTGCGTAGTAATACTTACAACATAATAATACTGATCCTTGATGTTTTGGAAGTTCACACATCTTCGTTTCTTCATTATATTTTTATCGATCAAATCTTGTGCGATGGCCGGCTCTATCTGTGTTATGTGCTCCCCACGTGTGTACAATCGACTTCCGGGTTGGATGAATTCGGGATGCATAACAAGATGGCCACTGCTATCCATTACGAAGCACCTGGTGGAAAAGAACAAATACATAACATTTACGCTTCAGTAATTCAACTCGGGACGAGTATGATATGAAATCACTGGTGAAATGATAAATTATGGACGCCGGCAGCTGAGAGAAGGCGCCCTGAACCCATTGTTTATTCTACACCGATATGTGAATTTATAGTTGTTGTGTCAAACGGAATATAAATAATTTTTATTTTATACTTATACTAGTAACCCAATGACGGCTACAGATTGCTAAAAGATGTTTCGGGATAAATTTTATACAAATTTAATTTGTTCCATCCTAGTTTTGTGCAAATGACCATGTTTTACTTTTTTATAGTAATGTTGGTACCTGTCTTAGACTACAAATGTTTTACCTGTATTTGCTTTCTTCACATTGCGGGTAATTCTTTTTCATCAATTTGTCGAAGTAAGAATATGTGATGTCCATCCCCATGACAACCATGACGTCATCGGACGTGCCACTCAAGAAAGTGATACTGCAGAAGAAATATAGGAAAATATTAACAATCGTGACGGTCGACGCCCGGCAACCACAATGCCTCTCAATGATGCTAACAACAACAACAACAACAAACGAACGGTGCGCAAGCGAAATGTTGCCATGGTTAAGCACACAAAACAAAACGTTTGATTTTCTGTAGCTGTAAGTACGTTAGATTCAAGTTAATTTAAAACAGTCACAGCAAAATTCATCTTGAATCGGTTTTAGCCCTTTTTCTTTGTTTTGTATCGGGACCTTTAATTGGGAAGAAAATGTACAGCATATGACCCCTTCAAAAGGGTTCATGCCCTCTGGGAGGAGTGGGTTTATAACGCTCAAAAGAAAGATAGCACAGGACTGTAAGATTGGAAAACTGGTAAATGGGATGGTTTCGGTACCTTAACTATCCCTACAATGGAGGACCGTTTTAAAAAGCAAAACTCATAGGGGGACAAAAGATATGTTCGCGTTACACATTTTTCCAATGATACATAATTGTTAGAAGGCGAATTTTAAGAAATAAGAGAAGCGCTTGGATCGAATGTACTATGCTGATGATACGAAATGATGATATACGAAAGAAAATAGTATGATGACAAAAGAAATAGCCAAGGAATGCTTAGGCCTGCAAACGAAAACGTAAGGACGAAAAAAAACTGAGCTGGTTAATTTTACTACCAAAACAAAGGACAGATGTTTTAAGGAGTGTGGGTGGAGGATACTCTAAAAGGTGGCAGCATGATCATAGCGCCAGACATGTGAATTGAGAGTTTCTGATGCAGTCCTGCAGCAAGAGGAAGATGTCTTTCTTCATGACCAAGAATAACTAAAGACATTGGAGTAATTGTTTAGAAACAAACGTCTACCCATGTTGTTATCGTCGCTTGGGACTCAATTCCCGCGCATGTGCAGGTGACGACCCTCCTGCTTTAACTTAAAAACTTTCTAAACATGAACGAGCTATCCCACTTAGCATAATTTGTCAATTAAAACAAACAAACAAACAAACAAAATGACGCAACTAATTGTCCGGAAGTGCACCGTTTTCAAACTGATAGAGTATACATACACTCTTTTATATATACCTTCAGTCGCTCTCGCTGCCCTCGTTATAAAGAAGAAAAAGCCAATGAATGAGGCTCAGTAGCAGGTTGTAGTGGATAACGAGTTTTTCAGTCAATGTGGGCCAAGTGTGTATGCAATTCGTTGCTCAGTAACATGCCCTAACATTTGAAATATTGTTCTTTATAGGGCGCCCTCAACGTTTTAAATACTTACCTTTCTGTTATCGCTTTACTAAGTGTGATGAAATTACCTTCATCGTTGTCAGTCCCACGTGACGCCGATAACGTCAAAATCCCCCGGTTACTTTTAGATCGCATGTACCTAGAAATTAAATACAAGTCTGAGCAACCGTTTCTTATTGTTTCAGCGGCTATCGTAATATTTTGCGTTAGTTAATTCACAACACGCGATATTTTTTTTTACCCCGGTGTTATTTGCTACCCATGGTCTGAGGATAAAAACTACACACACAATGTATTAGTAACACAGATCTACAGATAACACAATTTCTCAGCAACCTTCCCGTTACAATTATCAATACTGACAATGAAACCAATGTTCCCACACGTGATAATTTTTTCGTTTTCCGTAAAGTCCCAATACTGAAATTCAGGTAGTCAAACGCAAAAATCTAATTATTGGCTTAGTACAACTGCCCTCACTGCTAGTCGTAGAACTAATATACAGCTATATCAGTCAAACTATTGTTTTACAATCTTCATATATTGAATATTCAAAACGGAAGCACAACGTTTACTTACCACGGCCGCGAGGTGGCGTCGAATTTCTTATTCATAATCATTCCGGGGAATTGTCGATAAACGCCGTTATGACTTCCAATAAAACGATACAATGTGTAATTCTCAAAACCAAGATTATTCTGAGTCCACAGTTCGTTGACCTTCGATGTGGCTAAAACCATGTCACGAATTCCCTCCTAAATAACAGGTTCGACCAGATTAACTGATTTGACAATTACTATGCACTGTGTTCGTTTCATGGAAAATTAATTTATTTCACGAGCATGCGCGTTGACTTCCTAGTACGTCATAGAACACGGAAAATTATAAAGTAGTGCATAAAAGTAATATTATCAAGCTATTCGTATTACAACGTTGGTGAATGTTTGGTTAAATAGAAACAAAAATAAGGAATTTGAGAAAAAGATGAATATATACTTTGAAATAAGTGTTCAGGCTACTTGAGTCTTTCATATAGTTCCCGTATTGGCGCACTACATTCTCAGTTTCGATCAGTTGGAGATATCCTGTCGGGTTTATGAAGGCATTCGGTGAAAATTTCACTACGGGCTGATCTAAATAAAATCGAATTTTAAATAAATATTATTAATAGGTTTCTATATAACGAAGTGATTTTAGTTTATAAAGCAATAGTTATATTGTTATATGAAAGAATATGACAACCCTTCTACAAAGGTGTGATGTCTCTATGCTACACTAAGGGTCAGGTCAGATCATGTCAGGTGAGAATAGTGCAATAATTATTATATGCATACCTATGGTTGCATATCTGTTGAAATGTGAGCACGATTTCCTTGGAGGTATCAGATCAAGACGGTGATAGAGGAAGTCATCATCTGAAAAAGTGAATGTAAATTTTGTTAGCGAAATAGCCTCAAAAAACTTAACTATATTAGAGTATAAAACAAAACTAACACAGTCAGTTCGCGTAATAAAGTGATAATGAAATAACTTAATGCGACTAATCTACACATATATACCGGGGAAGCCATCTTGATTCCGGCCCGGACCTAGAAAAATACTAAATTTTTGAAATCGAAATTTAGATTCCTTTCACATTCAAATAATCCGTTAAGAGGATTTTTAAGCCATCCACCAACGAAATTCAACTACATTCGGCTACACTGCGTACGAATGCCATAATTATTAGACACAGAACCAATAACATAAGTTCTGGGGCATTTGAAACCAAAGTGAGGGTCGTTCATCTGTAATGTCGTAGCTGATTGGCTTTTTCACGTTTCATAATTCTTGTTTTACTCCGTTAAGTGAATATTTGCAAATTGATTTCATTTATTAGATTATCACTTGCAGCCAGCAGACTGTGAAAACTACGTAGATAGTCAGAAACTGGTACAGTACCATTTACCACTGTGATTTGTTTTGCCAATACAGCTTCATAATCACCCGTACCTTGCACAAGACACAAAATATATGGTGACCCTTGAACCTGAAAACAATATATAAATATGTACATGTAAAACCTAATCTGTCATATAAAGCCCCCTCTATTGACGAGGCGCTCCCTGTGACGTAATCAGTGCGTGACATGAAGGCCATTCAAAACGTCGATATCGTTTCGACTTTAAGTTGTCCACCAATATAGATTATATGTTTTTGAGAGATTTTACTACCACGAGCGACAACACAACCAAACACGTTTGCCCGTCTCCAGAAGAAGCAATTTAAAAACATTATTAACAAAAATCACTTAGACGACAAAGGATTACTATAACTGATCTGAATTGACTCACAGGACGCCAGTAATACGTCGACTCCACTGAGGTAGTGCGAACTCCTTCCTTGTCTGAATTACCCCGAGGAAGATAGCGTTTAGATATAAAAGTAGCTTCCCCGGTGGTGTCGCCACTTGTAAGAAGGTGAGAAAAAAATAATCATATCACATGGAATGTGGGTGCAAGCAATGTATAAACCGTAGACAACGGTCCAATATGAAACACATAATATTGTAATTGCACTACTGTATCTCATTGAATACAGACCGTCTTTACAATGATCATGTCAAAGCGGGAGGGTCCTCACCTGCGCACGCGCAGGAATTGAGTCCGAAGCGACGATAACAACACACGCTAAAAACGCAAAGGCTCATGGGTAGACGATATGGCCATCAGACGCATGGGTAGGAGACGACTCCCCCGCTTTAAAATGAAAACGGGTCTATGATATACAATTTAAACAATACGTATATGCCACATTTTGCCCTTTTTTGGCATGCGTGACTGAAATATGGCCGTCACTTTGTTTTGATATATATTTGCCCGTCAATTACACACGTTAAGAGCGCAAAGGCTCATGGGTAGAAGCTTGTTTGTAAAGAATGAATGGCCACCTGACGCATGCGTAGGTGACGACTCCTCGGCTTTAACGCTAAGCTAGAAAACACGTCTCATAATGTATTACGTAACATACTTTGTGGCGTTCTTGAAAACAGAATCGAAAAACTCTGTATCACGTTCCAATGTAGTGATATGTACATAGATTGGTTCATCTGCTATATCCATTGGGGCTGGTAACAGTGGGTGAATCAATGCCCGACCTGTACAAAGATGTTTAATATAAACGTTGTCATGCTGGTCCAGTAAATTTTAAATAACTCATATGTTCGGGATGTTATCTAAAATTACAGTTTTCAATTTGTAGTGCGTATCAATAATTACAATAAATACAAATAAAATTTCATATATAAAAGTATAAAAGCATTAACTAAGTAATTACCTGCCGCTTTACTGTTGGCCTCAAAGATAAACGCATACGAGGATGCACCTTTTTTAAAGAAGGTGACGTCAGCAAGTAAGTCGTCTAGTGTTATGTCCACTCCGACCACGCCCATTAACTTTCTATTGTATTTGACAGGCAGCGCTGCTGTTGTCATCAAACCTGGGCGTGAATCAAAAATGCATTCATCAATCACGGTTCATACGCATGGGCTGAATTTTAAGATTATATTGGTATATCAGAAATATAATTAAAATGAAAATATAATGTGCATTAACATGAACACAATTATAATAAATTCATATATTCATATGTGCATTTCATCTTGTAGCCATTAACAAATACTGGAAGTAGATCTGCTCTTACCTAATCCAAACCCATCTTGGTATGGCACTGAGAATATCGGTTCGTCTTGTAAACTATCGTAAAAGGCAAAGTAATCATAATATCGTGCCATTTTACTCCGAAGTAAAGTGTAGTCAGTCACATGCGTATAATGTCCCAGCTGTGAACACACAAAATAGATATTTATATATATATATATATTTGCACTTTGATCGAGTGATGATAAGTATTGTAATTGCCTTTTATAGATCATCGCACTGTAACGTCATATGTTTACATTTACGCGACAGCTTGCGAAAGTGCGAAAGTGTGACAACAAACTTCGCCCAATGATCAACACTAGCTCGCCATCTCCATGGGCACGTACATGGACATTTAATAACAGAAGCAACGAACACCGCCTTTATTTAATCCTCGGGGGAGAACGACCGGTTCTTTGCCCGGGATCCTTGTCAACAAGTCACTGCACACGCGCTTCAATAGAACGTAAAGTGCCTACAGGTACAATAATTTCAATCGCGTGACAAGGAGGTTCTGAGAATTATATTACTTCAACTTCAAGTGAAATCCCATTTCATAACTTTTTTCTTGTCAATGGTCAAATTCACCAACATGATAAGCATACCTTCACCTCACCCACGGACTCATTATATTTAGGCAATCCGTGATCTTCAAACTTCTGTGAGGAAATATCTTCCAAGAAATCCAATCCACCGTCTGTCGTGTCATGAAATCAAAATATCAAAACGATTAATTGTGCAATTGATTCTTACAATGTATAATTGCATCCGAAAATTATTGTGATTGGACGAGGTTCTGTTTTAATTAAACACGCCAGAAACTGTTAACTTGGGTCCAAGAATATATAAATTTTAATATTAAAATGATCTATCATTAAGCAGTAAGCAGTACAACACAAACGCATTTATTGAACAAGATTGTTAGTATTAATAGCAATATTAATAAATCAGCTTTAAATAATACATTGATATCAGTAAAACCATTAAAAGAAGGAAGAGGAAATTAAAATTCATTGAAAATCACATGACTGAAACAAATAAACGGCGAAAGAGGGCGCCTAGCGCATGGTGTATTATAATGTTCCAATCACTGAATACTACAGAGAAATATTGTTGATATAATAGCAATAATCCCCCATGCAGTGTGGCATGCTCGCTTGATGGAATATGGGGGTACGGGTACTACTTAATTTTTGGATAAAAAGTGTCCATATTTGTACACCACGTGAGATCGCCCCGCCGTGCTGATAGTCGATGAGCCATATGACTTACTGTACAAACAATGGGACGTTATGGAAAGCAGAAACCCTTTGGAAAGCTCTTGGGTGTTTATTTTGCTAGACATGTCAAAACAGTACTTAATGTTCGAAAATTTGGGGTGTTTAATGTTCACTTTTGGTTAAAGTCACTAGTACATTTCAACTTATGGGTATAATTATTTTACCGTGACTAGACATCTTGAAATAAAATTTAAAAGTACGGCGCCGCCTACATTTTGACGCGATTTGAGCAAATATGAAAACAAAGTAGTTTTTCGTCTTTACATTAAAACCATTTTTCTGATGTTAATCCAAAATGTTTTAAAATTGTGATTTGCACACGTGATGACATTCAAGAATTAAAGTGTGAATATATATTGAGGCATGCAAATGACAAGCACGAACATTTCCAAATTGGGTGAAATATTTGTATATTATATTTGTGACATTATAATGTAGACATAAATAAAACTATAATCATATATTATATTATATTATAATTATAATCAGTCAAAATATAAATGGCCTTGTCTATTAGCCGAAGAAGGCAAGCACCTCAAAGTGGATTGTAAAATATGCATATATGTGACAGTATATTTACATAAATGTTAATACATTATAGGCATCACCGTTAAAGTTATAGATCACAATTAACAGGTGAACTTTGACCCTCCCCCGAAAAAGATTGAACATGGTATGCATATATTTCTGAATTGATACCACACATCATTAGTACCCACTGTTTTGATTTGATTAGAATGATTCTGAATGTTATCGCGGTATACTCACCATTGCCGAGACCAAATGTTAGAATAACAACTCTGTTCATCATTTCCTCATTTTTGGAACGAATAACCGACATAATGTCAGATGGATCATCATTCGGTTCACCGTCGGTTAGAAATAGTATTACTTGCTCTGGGTGAAAATAATGAATTAAAAAGATTGTTTGACCTGATGTCCGAAATAGCTCCGCTGTTTTGGGAATCAAAGTCCACTGTTGCGGGTGTTCCCAAATTTGCATATATATATATATATATATATATATATATATATATATATATATATATATATATATATATATATATATATATATATATATATATACTAGCCACGCTCTTGTTACGATGTTTATAACTCCAAGAAAAACACAATAAAATTATCTAAGTGAAATTAATATTGCATATTAATATTTCTGAACCTTAATCTTAATTTGTGTACGTGGTTTTGTTCAAGTCAGTTTAGTTACATTGATTCAATCAAGAACATGTTACTAATTAGCCGTATACAGTTTGAATTTAAATTTGGCTTTACAGAGCAAATTTTATTTTCCATGACAATTCGTAGTCTTGTTTCTCGATACAATTGTCCGGTGACCCTATTTTGTTTTCTTTGTGGGTATTACAGTGACAACAACCCGTAGTAATGAAAGCATAATAATCTTTAATTCACAAGGACCGAATATTCTGAACATCGGGCCACCATTTGAATAGAACCATTGGTCAGAGGCGGCGGTACGAAATTTTCATGGGGGGGGGGGGGATCTGCTCACCATCCCTTGCGCCACGTAGGCGCAAGTGGTCGTGCATTTTTTCGCACCTCCGTGCCGCCGCCACTGTTGATAAAACTATCAGGGGGGAATTCTTCTCCTCTGGGTTCTCCAACCTGTGTCACAGGGGAATCTCGTCTTGTCTCTCTATCGCGTCCCCTTGAGGTACGGGATCGGGAAAGTCACTTAAACTTTTACAGTCAAATAGACGCACACAACAAAATACGTTTCAACTCTCGTCTTTAGTCAGTCAGTCGAGTACTCTACAAGACACAGCGCCCTGGAGGAAAAGTCCCCAAGACTATCGCAAGGCTGACCCAAGACTCTGCTAGACTGCCCCACGACTGCGTTTCTCCTCGTGTACTCGCCAAGACCAACTAAAACAACTTTATCCATTTTCAAAACCTTAACCAATTACAAAGCAGTTTAAAGACCCTGGGGCGTAACCTTCAATCATACAGCCAATCACACTAAGTACTGAACACGTCATATCTTTTGATTAATCGTTCGCTATATTAGTAACTGCGAATACCCAGAGTTAGCAGGACCAGCACAATACAAACGATAATAGGACCTTGATAATAGGATTGTGTTCAAATAATAGAAGCTGACATTTTTGGACTAACATTATGTAAACTGAAACACAAAATACAAGTATTAGATGATTACAAAAAGAGGCTGGAGCCATTGG